ATGATTCCCAAACCCTCACTGAGGAGCACTTCTTGCCACTTACACTTCTAGCCTTGTGTTACTCACCCAATGTACAGTAGGAGTTTTCAAGTTCTCTGTCACAGTTTATGATTTGATGGTTTTGCAACATTGGACACACAACCCATTTCCAAATATCAAGTATGCTTGGGATTTTACAAAGCTAATAAAAGTTAATGAGAATTCATGATCTATGTTCTGACAAGACATCTGTTCTTTTCTTTTGTAAATGACAAAAAGCCCACTTTGACTTGTTGTGACACAGTGGGAGAGAACAGATATGATCCAATTAATCACTCTAAACTATAAGCTATATTCAGTTATAGTTTCTCAACATGCTCGTCTTATATGGCTATTAATACGCTGCAGGTGCTCTTCTAAAATTGTCTTTTTACTGTAATTATGACATCCTCTGCTTTATTCACACGGTCACTTCCAAATCTTACCACATTAATAAAATCCCTAGATCAGGAGTTACTAAACTGGGGTTCAGGGATAGATTTCAGGGGATGTCAACTTGGTTGGGAAAAAAATTACATTTTTATTTTTACTAACCTCTCAGATGTAGCTTTTCCTTCAATTATGGATTTAAAGAGAAAGCAGTATTTTTCTAAGAAGGGGGCTACTGGTTTTACCAGATTCCCAAAGTGGATCCACAGAAACTGCCATAGAGCCTTTCATGGTTCACCTCAAGCACCACCTCCTACAGGTTTTTCCTGATTCCCTCACTTATTAGTGCTCCTTTCCTGCCTCTGACACAATCAGGTTGTGTGACCATGGACTAACCTCTTAGACCATAAGCTGCAATGAAGGTGCTGACCTCCGCCTTCTCTCTCTGTGGGGGAATTTCCTCACTTGGGAGTTCTCTACATCAATAAAATCAAAAGTCCAGTTCCTATCATTTGCCCACTTATTTATGTGGTTTCCTTTTAAGTCTTATTAGTCCATATAAGTCCTCGTACATAAAAATAAAAGAGTTTAGCCATAAGATGGAGGTGATGTGCAGTAATAGCTAGTAGGGATGCATGGATCAAGTTGAGTTTTTTGAGGATGTGGGATACAAGGGTATGTTTGTAGACAGTAGGAAAAGTCAGTAGTCAGGGAGAGATTGAAGTTAAGTGAGACAGTAGGGACGATAAAGGGGACAATCCTCTGGCCAAGCCAGAATGGAAAGGGATCATATGTTCATGCAGAGGAATTTGCCTTGACAAGAAAGGCAATCTCATCACGTGAGACAGGTAAGTGAAAAGATAGTGGTGAGTGGGAGAGTTAATTTGGAGGTATAAAAAGATTGCCTTGTAGCAGTGAGGGGCCAGTTAAAGTTATTTATAACATCAAAATAAATTTGTTCAGAAACATAAATTTGTAGTGGACCCAGTCAGCACAATTTTGTGATTTTCTCCAGCTTTGTTAAGCTGGAGAACAAAGCTGAACACAGCACCATTTATGTAGATTTAGTGGACGGTGGAAACAATCCAAGGCTGAGGCTTGGAAAGCCAATTATCAGTGACACTATATGGAGCAAGGGACTCAAAAAGAAAGTATGGAGTTTCAATATTTCACCAAAGGTTAAGATGAGGATGGAAAAGAGCATAGCTTGTGCAGGAATAATGACCTAGGAAAGAACTGAGGGGATATAAAGGGATTGGAAGTCATGGTGTGGATGAAGAACAGGATTTGGAGTTGCAAGGCAGAGGGAGAGGTGCAACGTGTGCATATAAAGGAATTTCAGAGTTTGTGGACATGGAAGTGGAGTACTGTGAGTGATCAAGGTTATGATCATCTCATTGCATGACTGACAGTGGAGGAACAATCATGTGAGGACTGTTACGGAACTGTGAGATTAGGATGTTTGAGAGAGTATCAATATGTATGTCGAAGGCCCCACTATGACGACAGGACCTAAAAAGGAAAAAAAAAAAAAAAAGACTGTGAGCTAGAAACTAAACTTACTGAGGAAAGAAGGGGAGTATCCTAGAGGTCAGTAGACAACTACTAGAATTTTGATTGAGTGACAGTATAAACTGAGTGAAACTCAAAGGAAGATAGATTACTAATTATGGCGGTAGAGGGAAAGTCTGGAAGTGACAATAGGGAACTAGAATTCCAACTACCCCACCTTCACCAGTCAATAAGGAAAAAATAAAAGCGCAGTGTTGGAAAAGGAGGCCAGGATGGCTGTCAGGAGGGGGCCAGATCAGAGTGAGAGCTCGACAATAAAAGGAATGGGAAAAGAAAAGATTTAAGAAGGGGCAGCTAGGTGGTGCAGTGGATAGAGCACCAGCCCTGAAGTCAGGAGGACCTGAGCTCAAAACCAGCCTCAGACCAAACACTTGACACTTACTAGCTGTGTGACCCTGGGCAAGTCACTTAACCCCAACTGCCTAAGCAAAAAAAAAAAATAAATTAAAATAAAATTTAAGATGACAGAAATAGGGAGGGGTCAAGGGACTGAAAGTGAGTGAACATACACAGGCATGAGAAAATATAAGTGGAAATGTAAAATATTATTTCAATAGTACTTCAAGAGGCAGTATTTCAAGATCTTAAAGCTGCATAATTTAAAATCTATACTTGATGAGAATCGTGGCTTCATGATCAATGGACATTGTCCAGTAGAGCAGTTTTTAAGGCAGCAACACCTTCCCTTCCTGTCCAGGTCTTTCCATAAATCCTTTCCTTAATGTTATACCCAATGAGTTCCTTCCTCTAGCTCTTAATATTTCATGGATACCAGTGCAACATAGGCTTTCTCTTATCTTTTTTTCCCCATTACATTAACTACCCACCTCCTATCTCCATCACTCATGGCCTTAAGCACCTCTCATGCTAGTTTCCTGATGCAACATGCTGGTAACATGCTACAGCTTGTGTCATTCTATTGCCTTTTGGGTCTCCTATAATTTTGGTCCTCTGTTGATTGTAGACATCTATGCAGAGTAATGGGAGAATACTGGGATCGAAAAAATGGGCTTTTACAGTTAAAGATCAATGAAATGTTATTGAATTTCCCAAATTTAGTCCAATCATGTTTGCTCCTCCTATTGAAAGAGTATCAGAAGGCAAGAGGATACCTGTCAAGCTGCAAGGCACTTAGGGCAGGACAAGTTACAGCTACGAATCACTATATTTTGGCCCATAAACTACATAGCTACTACATATACTAGTCCTGATAGTAGGTCTCACAGGGTGCCTCCACTATATAGCCTATCTATGCTAATCCTTCCCCTACTCTTTCCCACCACTGGTCCCCTGGCCTTGGTCCCCCCCAGAATGCCAGAAGGTAGTCTTTAACCATGGTCTATAAGAAACCATCACAACTACAGTAAGTTCTTTGTGGATGTCATGCAAGCAGGTTCTCCAAATTCAACCCACCCCCAATACCGTCCATTTACTATTTCCAAACTCTCCAAGTTTGGGCCATGACTACCTATCATTTCATTTTATTTTGTCCCATAACTAAACAAATTAATCAAACATTCCCCTCCTCCCACAACACACAAAATGTTCATCTGTAATTACTGTACACTATCCCAGATTTGCCACGTTACAAGGGATTGGAAAAGTCCTACAGCACTCCAATTCCAAAGTTTCTATGCCAGTTTCCTGCCCTTACAAATCTGGCTCAAATCATGTCTCTTATTTCTTTTTAAAAAATCATACATCTGTGCTTTTCTTCCTATAACACCAGCAGTTAACTTCATAGAGTCATTCTTTTTTCTGCTATAGCATTAGCCTTCATTTACTGAAAAAGAAGAAAAAATTTATTCTCTCCAGGTCTCCAACATACTACAGTTGTCCTTTTTGATGAAAAATTTGCACTCAACATATCCATCTACCTATAAACTAGAGATAATGCACAAAGTCAGTAACTTTAAGGAATGCTTTCAGTCTCTGCTTTAAAGGAGTTATTCCTCCTGAAAATTAAGACTTTCTGAATTATCAACTATAGGTTTCTCTAATAAAAATTTAAAAACATATGAAAGAATAAAATCCAAAAGAATTGTAGTTATTTCCATCTCTTTCAATGACTAGCACAGTGTCTGGAACATAGAAGGCATTTTAAAATTAAAATAATAATCCAATACTCCATGGCTTTAAGGACCATGAGATTTTTGGCTTAATTTTGTTATATATATATTTGTATTTCTTTTTAAAGCAAATGCACATTTTTCAAAACTAATTTATTAAAAATCATAAACAAATGCTTTGTACTTTTAAAATCTAAGTAACATAATTTTGGGGTTTTTTTAAATAAAATGTCAATGAATTCTTCTGAAATCAAATTGCTAAATAAAAATCTGGAGAAATTATACTATTTTTAAATAAAACAACTAAAACCTAGTTTTAAAATTTTTTCATACTACAGAAATTTAAAAGTAATCCTCAATATTTAAGGTGAGGTTTGGTACTAAAAACATTTTTCTGAGTTTAATATATACTCAAAAAATCCACAGGAAAAATGTAGCTCCAGGTGACTTTAAAATTTGGGAAGGTTTTCAACTTATTCTTATCTCAACATTTTTATCTTTTTCCAGTAACATTAGACAATCATCAACAAATATTTCATTTCTTCATAGGTGGCAAAATTTGCATATCATTCCTCTAATACTTGAAAGTTCTTTTAAGTATAAGCAATAGCACCCTAAAAGCTATGGAATATTATTGTTACTAACTTCCAGAAATAAAGGATAAAGATCTAAACACTAAAACATTTCTTTTGTTAAACCCTGCACAAAGACAGATTCTGTCACAATCCTCTTTTAATTTTTTTCCCTGGCAATGCATTAAGCCTATTCAGATGTGTTTTCTAAAATCAAACAGATCAAGGTATTTAAAAATGTATTTTGTAAACAATATATTTTAATTTTGTAGTAAGTAGCAAAATAAATATATTGAGCATGTTGATTTAAAAAGATGCTTTATGCAAAAATAATAAAAACATATATTAAATGATATATATCAGGTTAATTCATTCTATAGGTATGTCCTCAGAATTCATAAGTAAAAACAAAAATGACTGGTTAAAAGAATGATGATAAAATTTTACATTTAAATTCTACCTCAAATACAAATGAAAACTAAATCCAGGAATAAGAGATTTGAGAACATATATGTCTATAAATGCATGCATATAAATGATATATACAAGGGGCAAATTTACCAATTAAGACACAAAGTCCAATATAGTGTAAACTTTAATATGTAAATTAGATGTCATTTCATCACCTATTTATCAATGACACTGGTCTTAACTTTATATATTAAAATATTAAAAAGCTTAAAAAACATCATTGCAATATAGATACAATGTGAGAAAATACATATTTGTGGCTTTATACACAATCAAATTCAACCCATTTATATATTGTTTTTTTCTCAAAAAAATAAATGGCACTTTGCATGCAACAAAATATACAAGACTGGGAGAGTCTGGGTATGATTCAATTTGAGAGTAAAAATGGAAAAAACAAAAACAGATCATCTTCTGAAGCCTAACAATTAAATGGCAGAAGTGGAATGTACAACAGGACTGAGACTTAATACATTTGGTGCAGATTAAGGCAACATGAATAAGGAAAGGAGCTATTTCAAATACAAAACTATATACATGTATATGTATATACATGTAAATATATATATTTACAAATGAAATCTACTGCAATTGAAAATCTTCTGTAATTGTATCACAAACTTCAACAAACACACAATGAAAGAAAGGAGAAAAAAAAAGATCCTTTAGGAATTTTAAACATCAGCCCTGCCCCTGGGCTGCTTCTCTGTTGATGGTTTCCTAAATGACTTCTGCCACTCTGAATCACGCCTCAGTAGTCAGATGAGTTTTCCAGACTTCATTACGCCATCGTGTAACCATAGCTTCCACAGTGTAATGCCACAAGCAGCCTGTCCTTAAGGATTTCCTTACTTGGGTATTCAGGTAACTTGAGCATGTTGATGCTTAAAAAGAAAAAAAACAAAACAAAACAAAACCCACACCTCTATTAAATATGAAATTTCAGATTTTTTTTTTGGCACTGAAAACAGTACTAGATAATTAACATGAAACTGTCCTTTCAAATTTGCATTCAAATTGGAAAACCCTGAAGATGTATTTATGAAGGAAACAAAGCTTCACTGCTGTATTGCAGTACCCCTTAGCATTCAGATGGATTGTAGGAGAGTAAGTTCTTTTTGATTTAAAATGAAAAGCAACAGAACTTAGTTTGAAGAATCTCTGCAAATTAACTGTCCTAGTGACCCTTGGTGAGTAAATGTATTCCGTCATATCAGGGAGTGGTTCATCCCAACGCTCCTCCCACCATAACTGTAGAGATGCATACTTGTTGGGGATCAAAACAGAACCTGTGAATTCACTGATGAAGGAAATTCCCTTTACCAACACAAGGCAGCACCTTCTCTGCAGTTTAGTTTTAGAGAGTTGCCCAGTGTGTGGAGACGCAAGATTTGAACACATCTTCCTTGTTTGGAAGGCTGGCTCTCTATTCTCTATTGCCCAGAGCCTCTCAATTCTTTCAAAAAGTCTGAATAAAGTACATAATTCAGTGACCATATTTTTCTTTCAATTTATTAACACAAATCACACCTCTTTATATTAAAAAAATTAATTTAAAAAATTACAAAATGAAAGTTGCCCCTTTTTTGGAACCAAACCATTAATTTCACTGGTATAGAAAGAGAACTCTCAACGTGGAAAATCCGTTTACTAATTCAGAATTGCATCTACTCTGAAATTTACAATCTTGGAGAACTGCCCAGGACACTGAGAGGTTCAGCAACTTGCCCAGGGTCACACAGCCAGTGTCAGGGTCCTAAACTCAAGTCTTCAAATTTCCAAGGATGACTGTCAGCTGAAGGCATCTCACAACAAAAGATGAATACATTTAAATAAATATAATAATTCATATGTATATAGTGCTTGAAGTTTTGCAAGGCGCTCCGAGGCTGTTTAACATACCATGTACTTGATGTTGGTAGCAGATTTGGAGTGTAGGGCACAGCAGCTATTGTAAAATTTTGCAATCCACTTCCACCCATTATATTAGCAAAACCACCATGTGGGACCCTGGAACTAAAAAAAAAAGTATGTTATTAAGGAATAATTTTAGGAGAAACTTTTAAAATCTACATTATACAATGTTTTTTCAATATTACTCTCTCTCTTATTTATCTCAGGAAAAAGTGATGAAGGCCACCACTATGTTGAGTGGAACAGATCCCCTGTGGAAAAACTTACAGGATGATACACAAAAGAATCAACAGCGAGGCACCTAGGATACCTGGATAAGTTAGGGTGTGTATTAACAGAGAGAGAACATTCAAATCGACAAGACCCCAAATCCTTTTGAGTATACTCCACTATATATGGACGAGACCTGTTTTATACTTGATCCACAGGTCCTATGTGGGGAGCAGTAATTCCCTTTTATAAGAATCATGAGGGAAACTGGAGGCTTTACTGCACACTTCCTTCTGAGTGTTTCGTGCTGTTTTTCAACTCTGAAAGTCAAATACAGTACCAAAGCAAAAATGATCAGTACAATCTCTTATCAAATAAAATGCTCTGCCATGGAAAAAGTATGGATGGATACACAGCATAAACTCTGGAAGGTACAAACAACTGATTCAATTCCACCTAACAATTATTGGCTTTTTGTTTTCTGAACTCACCAAGATTTCCATTTTAAAAGCCCACATGCAATTGTGCAAAAATGCCCAGAGGTATTTACTTATCAAAAAACTTACATGAAAGAGCTTCAAAAAGCAAGGAAGATGGAGAGGACAGAATCACTCTTTGAATGTTAGTTGTATTGCCTCAAAAAGTAGCTATGTGTAGAAGGGGAATAATAAAGAGCACTTAAGGACTAAAAATAAAATGATCAACTCAGAGGACTAATAAATAATGGCTTCAAGAAAATTAAAAATTCATCATATAAATGGGGAAGATCTGAATTTCTCAGAATATTTAACTTCAATAAATGTAATACAACTGTTTCTACTCCACTATTTTAGGTTAACTAAAAATAGTAAAATATTGTATTTTAAAAGGAACATTTATTCCACTTGTTTAATCATGATTAATGAGAAATATTTGTTACTAGTTCCATTTAAGTAATTTTATGGTACACAGTGGAAGAATTTAATTTTTTAAAGTTGCACTGAAGGCATACTCTATCTAGAGCATAAAGAAACTGACATTTCAATACAACTAAGATTTCGTTGGTGTTTGAATTCCCTTTACCAGCATATATCACAACCTTTCCACACATTCTCAGTCTGTGTGATTGTTATCTGTTTGTTCCTACGATGCTATATGGAGAATTCATAGAATTCTTTTGGAAACCTTTTCTTTTAAAAACATAACCAGACTACCTTGATGTATACTTGTCATGAGCAATAAGTTATTAGTTATATCACCACACATCTTTCCATATTCAAAATTACTGGTAATTATGATCCTTTCGAGATCATGTTCTATGATTGATGGCTGTATAATAAAACACTGCCAACAGAATATCAGTGTTAGAAACGGGTTTTTTGGCAGCCAGCAGTTGAATACCACTGAAGGTACTGAACAAATCCTCTTCTATTCAATTCTGTGTCAAGTTAGGTCCATTTATAATACTTGTCCAAGACAAGGGATTGATGGACTAACTTATCAGGCTGCCTATTCAGATGCATGTCAAAAATCTAGACAACGGGGGCAGCTAGGTGGCGCAGTGGATAGAGCACCAGCCCTGAAGTCAGGAGGACCTCAGTTCAAATCTGACCTCAGACCAATCACTTGACACTACCTGTGTGACCCTGGGCAAGTCACTTAACCCCAATTGCATAAAAAGGAAAAAAAAGAAAAATCTAGACAATGTCTTCTTTATTCCCTTTCTTTTTTCATTATGGATAGTAAGATCCATAATTCAATACTATGGATTTCAATGAAGAGCCTTTGTGGCACTCCAAAATTATGCAATTATTACAACGTAGGTGGCATAGTGGGTACAGTGCCAGGCCTGGAGTCAGGAGACACGAGTTCAAATCCAGCCGCAGATGCTTACTAGCTATACGACACTAGGCAAGTCACTTAACCCAGCCTTCCAAACAAGGAACACTTAACCCTTAAGTCTCAGTTTCCTCATCTATAAAATGAGCTGGAGAAGGAAAATGGCAAATCACTCCAGTATCTTTGCCAAGAGAACCCCAATGGGGTCACAAAGAGTCAGACACAACTAAAAACCAACTGAAGAACAACAAAAATGTGTGAATAGTAGCATTTGGAGAATCTTTTTTTGTCAATAAAGAATTCTTTTTGTTTGGAGTCTTCTCAGGATATCTTCTAAGACAAAAATGAATATTCTGTTTTATATCTTGTTTGATAACAGTAATCAGAAGACTACTGATATAGTTATCTCCATGTTTAAAACTGTTAGTATTCCACAATGTTAAAATATACATAGGAAACCCCTAGTTCAAAGAAAAAAATGCATTTTGCTCTAGAATCATATGAATAAGAGCTAGAAGGGCCCTTAGATATCATCTACTGCAATCTTACAGGTGAGGAAAACTGAAGCCCAGAGAAGTGAAATGACCTGCCCAAGGTCACAAGGTAGGACATATTTAAACATAGGTTTTCTAATTTCAAACTTAGCACTCTTTAATTAAGTCAAATGTGTTTTTAAATCACTATACAAAATATATGGTAGGTTCTTATATTTTCAAACCTTTCGGTCCATCTTGTGGCTGTAAAAATGTACCCTGCTACAGAAAATCTTCTATAAAAGTCTGCCTTCTCCCATGTTTTTATCAAGAATACCTCAGTGCCTTCAGAGACCTTTCCTTCTTTTTTTAAGCAATGGGGTTAAGTGACTTGCCCAGGGTCACACAGCTAGTAAGTGTTATGTGTCTGAGGTTGGATTTGAACTCAGGTTCTCCTGAATCCAGAGCCAGTGCTCTATCCACTGTGCCACCCAGCTGCCCCTTAGAGACCTTTCTCTTAAAACTGCATTATAGGTCCATGTAAGAAACAACATATTACCAGTGATGATTTGCATGCAAGAAGTGGTGCAAAACATATATCCAGGGCACATAAATGGGTCAGAAATATATGGAAAGAAAGGAATAATAGGTGAACAAGTACTCACAAAAAGTTAAAAGACCTAGAATAAGAACTGCAGTGCATTAAGTGGAGCATGTTCAGGGAATTTATAGGAAGACATGGATACAAATCTCACAGGCATGAATGTCAGGCCTATATATGTATATATATATGTGTATATATATATACACAAACACACACACACATATATCTATACATATTGTACATATATAAAACCAAATCAATGAGATCACAGTTCCACTGAAGTCTTGAGAAAGCAGATAAATGTGTATTTGTTAATAAATTATTACTTGCTTTTCCCCTCGCCCTCAATAGGAGACCCAACAATGATCATCTCCATACATTTACAAATGCCTCTTTCAGCTTTTTTAAAAACTGTTCCCTGAGTGCCTATATCAGTAGAGGAAAACTAATCATACACCCTAGACTCCACTCTTCCCTATAAAACTTCTGGCTGCCTTCTGCATTTCTTTCTAGACAACTGTCTTACTATGGAGTAAGTTGGGTGTCCTATATTAAAGAACTGGAGGGGTCACAGGATCTAGCATGATCTGAGTGCCAGGGCAAGAAAGGCCCTATCTTGATCATCTATCCCCTTATTACTACTCCTGTGAACCTGAAAACCAATGTATTCAAGGACTACACCCCATATATCCTGCTTTCTTCAGAGATTTAGGTGGATCCTTATATAGTAGGAAAAAATGATCCTGATGTAATTGCCACCACCCACTTCCTTTACTTTACTCCATCTCTCCTCCAAGATGTTTGAAGCCAAGTACTTTCCTTAGTACTAGGAAAAGTCTTATTGGTCTTACTGGTTGTTTTGTTTCTTCCAGTGAAATTTCTAAGACCCTGAAAAGTACCTAAAATGAACTAGGACCCCTGTGCAGTTAGGAAGATAGAAGATGGCATTGTCAATTGAGGAAGCAGCTAGTAGACCAAATCTGGCTGAAATATAACATATGAAAGGGAAATAATATGAAATAAAACAGGCAAGAATGAGACTGTGTAGGCCTATACCAGACTGAGTTTCTGTATGATGATAGGGGCAATGGGGAGCCACTGGTTATTTTTGAGGAATGAAATATATGATCAGATCTTCAAAGAAAGATTAATTTGGCAGATATGTGAAAAATAAGTGAATAATTGGAGAGACTGAATAAAGAGAGAATAATAAGAAGGCTGCTGCAATAAAGCAGGCAAGAGATGATAAAGGTATATAATAAAATAGTGCTTGTATAAGTGGAGAGGAAAGGATAAAACAATAAATACTATGGAAAAACAATCAACAAGATGTGGCAAATGACTGCCTTTGGGAGCCAGTGTCACGAGAGGGAAAAATCAAAGATAATATCAGCGTTCCAAACCTGAGTATCTAGAGTCCACAAAGAAACAAACAAGTTTTAGGATGTGGGTTTGGGGCAGGGGGTTGGGGGAATATGAATAGTTCTGTTTTGGACATGTAAAATGCTGATGTATGGCAAATCACTGAAAATGTGAGACAAATCCAAGGAGAGATTAAGACTATCTATGAATACCTAATAGGCGTCTGGATAGAGATCATCAACCCACAGGGGCTGAAGAGATCACCAAGGGAAAGAGTACCAAGGAGGAGTAAAGGGCTCAGGACAGAGCCCTGAGGAATGGCTATATTTAAGGCCAAAAAAAAAAAAAAAAAAAAAAGGTAGGATAAACTAACAAAGATGACTAAAATAAAAGTCATTAAAAAGGTAGGAAGAAACCAAAAAGCAAAAGAGCAGTATCACAGACGCTAAGGAAGAAGAGAACAGCCAAGAGAAGGGGGTAAGTGACAGCATCAAAAGTTATAATAGAAAGGTCATGAAAAATGAGGACTGAAGAAAGTTACTGCATTGAGAATAATGTCAATAAAGTATTAGGGTTACCAGTCAGATGAACTGATGCATAGTGAAGTGAGCAGAACCAGGAGAACATTGTACACAATAACAGTAATACTGTTCAATAAAGAACTGTGAATGACTTAGTTATTCTCAACAATATCATGATCCAACACAATCCCAAAGGATTAATGATGAAGCTTACTATCCACTTCAAGAAAAAGCACTGATGAATACAGACAGAAGAATGCTATTTTTCACTTTCTTTCATTTTTTCTTTTAGTTGAGTCTTGTACAAAAGGACTAATATAGAAATGTTTTACATAACTGCACATGTATAACCTATATCTGACTGTTTACCATCTCAGGGAGGTGGGAAAGGAGGGAAGGAAAGGAGAGAGAGAATTTGGAACTCAAAATTTTAAATAAAAAAATTTTTTTAATTGTTTTTACATATAATTGAGAAAAAATAAAATAACAGTCTTCAAAAAACTGAAAGGTGATCAGGTGGAATATTCAAATTGCCATAAGGAAAACTGGATTAATATTAAAGACATGGTATTTTTAAATACTAATTTAAATAGTTGGAGACCAATAGTTACATTTTTAATATTCAATAACAACAAATTCAACTAACACTTATTAAGCACCTATAATGGGTACTCAAAACACGCTGCTGTGTTAAATAAAAAATTTAGGTAATACATGGGTCCAAGAGGTGCAAAGTTCTAGAAAATTCCAGTTAAGTTCTGTTCTAAGGTAGGGGTGGGTAGAAGATCAATAATAAGTCAAGAATATATCCAGAATAGAGGTAACATTTGAGTTGAGCTTTAAATGGTAAGTTGGAATTTAACAGATGGAGGGGGAGGAAAACATTCCAGATTTAGGGAATATCAAAGAGGTAGCAAAGTATGGAGCTGTTTAAAAAAAAAAAAAGTATGGCAAAAGTGAATAATCCATCTTGGCTAGAATTCTGAATACCTGAAAAGGCCTAACACTCTTTTTCTAGCTTTTCTAGAAAAGCATAGTATTGGCTAAGCAACAGAATTTGAACTTGAGCCTGGTTCACAATAGGTAATACATGGCTTTTCCAAATACACATGTATTTTTTAAAAAAATTAAATGGCAACTAAAATTATTTTGTTTATAATTCTTAGTACGGTTATGGAGAAGTTTGGCAATCAACAAGCATTTACAAAATACCTACTATAAGCATTGTGTTGGGTGCTGGGAATACAAAGATAAAAATGAAACTAGCATCAAAGTACATGAAGAGCTTCCACTCCAAAGTGGGTATTCTTTCTGTTAACATAAAACAACAATATAGCAAGGCTATAAATATAAGTAATATTGTTTAGTTTATCAAACTATGAAATTTCCCAACATAAAATACGCTTGTTGATAGCCTTGTTTATCTGTGCTGTTTATCTTTGTGTAATACATAAAAATGATGGAAAAGAGGTGAGTATATCAGATATTCAAGAGTACTGAATATAACAACAACATTTATATAGAGCCTACTATATACCAAGCACTGTGCTAAATGCTATATAAATATCATCTCATTTGATCTTCAAAACAATCTGAGAAAAGATGCTATTATTACTCCCATTTTACAGATTAAGAAACTGAGGCAAGCAGGCTAAAGTGACTAACTCAGGGTCACACAGTTACTAAGTGTTTGAAGCCATATTTGAACTCAATTCTTCCTGACTCCAGGCCTGGTGCTCTATCTTTGGTGAACCCTTGCTGCCCCACTCAAACCAACTCTTCTTGTGTCATTTATCCCTAATTTGTTACAACTTTAATATAAACAAAATTCTTTCCAAAATCAAATACATAATTAAAAAATAATTCTTACCTGCCAGTAACAAATTGCAACAGAAGCACTCTTTCTTCTTGAGTTATGCTTTCCACAACTTCCCAGAACCACTAACAGAAGAAAAGATATTTCATCCATATTTCATGTAATAGAAAATATGCATGAAAAGGGATTTTTATATTATTCTCATGTGGTATTTCTATAAGAAGAATTTGGGAAATATTTTGCTCTGATTAATCAGTATAGATTTTGATCTAATAATGCTGAAAAGCTTATAGAAATAAAATGCAAAATTCAGTTTCACTCCAATCACTTAAAAGAGATTTTACCTGAACAACTGGATCATCTCTTTCATAGCCACTGGTATATTCTGTATTTTTTATCCAATCACTCACATCAATTTCTGGCATACCAGAAAGCAGTAACTCCTTGAAGGAGGGCAAAAAAAAAAAAAAAAAAACCTGATTAATCTTAAGGAGAAAAAAAGATTACATTTAAATAATAAGTTTATTTTTAGCAATTTATTGTATGTAAAACTGAAATTCTTAATGGCTTTTAGGAGATCAACAATACAACTTCAATTTGGACAAAATATTTTATGCATATCAAATATTTAATAGGTTGCTATATATTTTTGTCATTTCACTAAAATATACAAAGACAGTATATATGACAATCTGAGTAATATTAGCATATTGGATTATAATTTGTTTCCTTCATAGTTTCATAATAGATTACTCTTAAACCTAAAATAGGGAACTATTCTAAAAATGAATGAGATAGAAACCTAAATAATTCTGGTTGAGTCAACAGATTCCAACCATCTGGGAGAAAAGGAGGTATCTAGTGAATATAGAGAAAAATTTAATTATCTCTGAACTCTTGGTAGTATTTCTTTAGAAAGTAGTAAACAAAAAAGAAACAGGAATCCTAAGATTTTAAATTTCAGATCAGAGATTTAGATTTAGAGGGATTTCAGAGGTCATCTTAATACAATTCTCTCATTATACAGAAATTGAGACACAGTGAGATTAAAGTAACATGACTAAGGTCACATATGCATTAAGTAGCTGAACTAGAGATTTAAAACCTGATTCTCTGACTCCAAATTGAGTCTTCTTTCCCAGGACACTGAAAATTTTGTTATATCTGTGTAACCACATGCTCCCAGTTCAGCACTGTTATTTACTTACAATTCAGTTTAGACTGTAACAAAAAAACACCACTTGTGATATTCGAGAATTTCACTTGGGATGTATTTTATGTTGACTTCTCTTAAACTGTTTCATTCCCAACACTTTTTCTTACTTTTAACAAAAACTAAGAGGCAGATTCTCCAGACTATAGTTCAGTGAGTGCTATATTTAGAAACTTGATTGCCCTAGAGGGCCAATACCTATTTCTGAAACACATAGTCTTCTACATATTCCAGAGGACAGAGAAAAAGAAAGAAGTTCCTCTTCTTTCATTAAAAGATATATGGGCAGCTAGGTGGTACAGTGATATAGAGCATCAGCCCAGAAGTCAGAAGGATCCGAGTTCAAATCTGGCTTCAGACACTTGACACTTATTAGCTTTGTGACCCTGGGCAAGTCACTTAACCCCAATTGCTTCACCCCCCCCCCAAAAAAAAGGTACATACAGCTTTAAACGTTAGTCCTTTCCCCACAAACTGAATCATCTGAATGGGACCTTGACTTTTATTAAAACCCACTGTCTACTTTTTTTTAGCTATCGAGCAAGTTCAGTTGCTTCAACAGTTTACTGATTCACACATAAGGAGGCTGAGAGAAAAGAATTGATGCTATGGTGATTTTTTTTTTTTTTGGTGTGATAAGAAAGCTACTGCATTTGACACTGTCACCAGAGACTTATACAGGGACATCATTAACTGTGCTGAAACTTTTCTTTTGGCTATCGATGCCAAGTAGTTATGATGCCAGAAAAGACTGGTAGTAGCTTCAAATTCTGTGGAAGCACACCACCCTGTTTCTTATTTTAGAAATAGTAACAAGTCATTTGAAAACTATCTTAGTCTGAAGACCATGGGCTAAACTGAAAGAGAAGGGAAATCTTATCTTTCTTTGACAATCAATTCCAAAATAATGTCAAGCTACCTTCTCTCTGATTAGTCCAGGAAGGACTCTTCTCTTGAAGTAATTAGGAAGGTGACTGGACAGGGGCAAAGGAGCCTAAAATGACCTACCTAAGAGTAGCAACTTTTTTCTCCAGTACCTAAAGAGATTAAGGCAATAACTACCTCAGAGAATAATCTATTTCAGCAGTGTCAAACTCAAAAAGAACCTGGAGACAACTAATTTGTGTGTAAGGATCACCATTGGGCCCATGTTAACTTGGTTTTAAAATGTAATATTATCTACGTTTTATTGTATTTTTTATTTATTTTGTTAAATATTTCCCAATTACATTTTAATTTGGTACTGGCTACACTCACAAGTACTGCTGGCAGCATCAAGGCATGGTATTTGACACTTCTGGTCTATTTGATTACTACAATGGATGGAAGTTAGGGTAGTAATGACCAAATGAAAAGAAGAATCCTTGGAGAGAAAGAAAGAAAGAGAGAGAGAGAGAGAGAGCTCAAAGAGAAGGGATTAAATGGGTTTTAGAAAATAGAATCTCTAAGAGTATGCTGAAAGTTAAGTGATTATTTTTGTTTAATGAAGCAAATTGCTACTGAACTGTTACCTAAATTCTAGACCTTTAATCTTGACTATGAAATATATTTTGCTAAATAATACCATAAACTTGGACTTTAAAATCACTTAAATTGGAGAGATATCCAAGGGTAAGAGGAAACTGTCAGTCTGGACATTTCTAAACTTAAAAAAAAAAAAAAAGCTTAGATTTAGAATAATCTAAAATTAATAAAAATCATTTCTGGAAGGCATGTGCCCATATTGCAGAGCATATTTTTTCTTCAACAGATAATATTTTGCCTTCTATTATATTATTATAAAATTAAGTTAACTCATTCTAAAAAAAATTGATCTCTAAAAGCCTGATATGAAAGAACGGTTTATATTATGTATAAACAATGGGATATATACATTAATAAGGTGATGAGAAAGTATACTTGTGGGAAGTTTATATTTGGAGGAATGGTGTTACAGTAGATAAAGTGGGCATGGTACCTAACTTCACAGAGTTAATGATCTACATGCCTTGGAAGAAAAGGAAAGAAAAATTGAGGAGTAAGGCAGGATCACATAATGAGAAGGAATCTCAGAGGCCAAAGAGTCAATTGTACCTCTATGTCTTGGCTGACAAGTGGTTATTCAGTCTTTTTTCTAAGCACCTCTAGTAAGGGGGAATCTACCAAAGTAGTACATTCCATTTTTGGATAGCTCTAAGTGTTAGAAAGATTTTCTTTCCATTAAGGGTAAATTTGACACTCTGATCCATCAATTGTTCCTAATTCTGCCAAATGAGGCCAAGCAGAATCAGACTTTTCTAGACTAAACGTCTCCAGTTCCTTCAACTGATCATCATATGGCCAAGATTATTCGTCATTCTAGCTATCCTTTGGGTACCTTTTTAAGGTTATCAACATCCTTACTAAAATGTAGTACCCAAAATTAAACATAATACTCCAGACCAAGGCAGAATACAAAGTTATTATTGCCTCCCTAGGCCTGGATCCACCATCTTATTTAAGGCAACCCAAGAGTACGCTACATTTTTAGCAATTATACCATACCGGGGACCAATATTAAACCTGAAATTCACTTAGACTCCTAGGTACATCTTAAGCCGCTATGCAGCCAAAACTCCTATCTCATGTACCTATAAAGTTGATTTTTTTAACCTAGTGTGATTTTATATTTATGTATATTAAATTTCACTACTCTAATTTTGTAATCTACCAATTGTTGAAAAAAAGGAAGAAGAGGGCAGGTAGGTGGCACAGTAGATAAAGCTCCAGCCTTGGAGTCAGGAGGATCTGAGTTCAAATCCAGCCTCAGACATTTGACACTTAACTAGCTGTGTGACCTTGGGCAAGTCATTTAACCCCAACTGCCTCACCAAAAAATAAAATATAATATAATATAATATAATAAAAGAAGTAAAAGAAAGGAAGAATCTAAGCAGTTTTTAAACACATGCATACTATCCGAACCTCCTTGAATGATTAGAGGAAGGAGGAAGAAACTAAAACAACAATCCTACAATTGCATTAAATGTTCATACTCCAACTTGACCTGTGTCACATATGTATACACATCTATACATCTATGTATATGTATCATATATATGTATGTATACAAAGGTCCAAATCTAATTTCTGAATAATAACATAAAACCAGAAGTTAAGTCTTGTCAGTAGTTAAAAGACTAAGTATTTCCACTTACCAGTTCATATTCATCAAAAAGTTGTATAAGGGAAGGTGGAATGAACATGTGAAAGCCCTGTAAGAAAGCATTGATCTGAGGCTGAATGGCTCTTGTCATTCGGAGCTCAGTAACAAGCTGGACATATTCTGCCTGTAATTAAAAATATGACAAAGAAATAAAAACCTTAATGTGGTTTAAAAAAAAAAAAGTCAGTAACAAAACATGCTTCCTCAGTTCAAAAGGTAAAATCTGTCCACAATGGTATAAATTCACATAAATTGATTACAGTTCTATTTTATGAACACAATTTACAAAGTAAATGATATGATGAAAAACCTCAACTAAGTACAAACTAACTGCCTGTTGCTCAAAGAAGACTTTTTAAAAAATAATAATTCATTATAAAATGGATGCTTATATTGAAAAATAATATGTCTGGTGATTCAATTCATTATTAAGATGTATTTTGGCATCAATAAGAATAACAATATTATATTAACACCACTGATAAAATATGTAGCTATATCTTATCAACTTTATATTTCCTAAACAAAAATCTGAATCACTAAACTTTGAATATTCACAGCAATTATCTTTTGATTGATTCTTATCCTCCAAGGAATACATATTCCTTGGGCACAAAAAAAAAAACCCAACTACTTACCCAATCTCCCTTCATTTATTCCTTCTTTTGAAGGAACTTGATATTCTGTTTCAAGAGAAATATCACACACCCTCAGTCCGCAAGTGTTATCTAGCTGCTTACTGGCTCTGGCTTTTCTGAAACATTTAGAATTGTGGGTGACTTACAGCCATCAATGCACTCTCAATATTGCAAATAGTCTACTTATTCCTCTGGAACAGAAATGGAACCAGTCTGTCCCTTCACAGGTAAATATATCAGATGCCAGCTATCATGTGTGCTACTACTATACATAAACATCGAAGTTTATTAACTCCAGTCTGAAGCATGAAGAATCATTTACTACAAGTTATTTACTGGTGGTTTCTAGGCAGAGAAGAAAAATTGAAATAAAAATAATCCCAGTCCTAAAAGTTTATTCTGCAACCTGACTTGCCATGAACAAAATTTATTTCCATGTAGCTTCAGTTTTGTCTGTTAGAACATCATGTAGTGGTTGCTGTCCATTCAAATTAATACTGTGGTCTTTATATATTTTGAAGTATTAAGTCTTTTTTTAAAATCATTTTTTTGCCCAAGAACTGTTTGTCTTATTTTCGGTGGTTGTTGTTTAGTCGTTTTCAGTGATGTATGACTCTTCTTTACCCCTTTTGGGGTTTTCGTGGCAAAGATACTGGAATGGTTTGCTATTTCCTTCTCCAGCTCATTTTGCTGATGAGAAAACTGAGGCAAACAGGGTTAAATGATTTGCCAAGGGTCAAACAGCTAATAAGTGTCTGAGGCCACATTTGAACTCAGGTCTTCCTGACTCCAGACTGGTCACTCTATCCACTACACCACGTAGCTGCCCTCATTTTCAATTACTACTCAATATTTATAATGTCTCACTTTCATTCAACCTGCAAAGCCAATCAACTGCCAAATCTTCTGCCTTCTATTTCCACAAAATCTCTCCAATTCCTTTTTACTCATACAACAACCTAATTCAAATCCTAATTACCTCTCTTACCTTTTACCTGGAACATTGCAATAGCTTCCTAATTGTATTCAAGTCTCAGGTCTGCCTCAAATCTCCCTACCCTAATCCATTCTCCACACAGCTGCTGAAGTAATTTTCCTCAAGCTGCAGGTCTGATCACATAACTCCTCTTCCTGCTCCAACTAAATTCTAGTGACTTCTGATTATCTCTAGGATCAAATATAAACTACTTGGCATTTAAAGCTCTTCATAACCTGACCTTTCCTATCTTTGTAGTCTTCTTACACATTGTTCTTCTCTGGCTCTGGAATCTAACAACATTGTCCCTCACTGTGTCACACATGACATACTCCTGTGCCTTTCAACTTGCTGTCCTTCCCAATCCTGGATTATTCTCCCTTTACCTCCGCATTTTGGAATTTTTTGTTTCTTTCAACTCATCAAAAGTGCCAACTTCTACATGAAGTTGATTCCCCTAGTTATAAGCACACTCCCTTCTTATTAACCATCCTGCACTCATTCATTCATTCACTCTCTTTCTTAATATGTGTGTGTGTACACGTGTGTATGTATGTAACTGTTTTACTTACCCTAAGCTCATAGAAAGATTTCAAATTTAGTATCTAACCCAGGCTAGAGATGAATAATCAAGGCAGGAAACTGAGATCAAAGGACAGCATACAATTCTGCCACTTTGAACCAATAGGAAAAAAAAAAAATTTAGAAAAGGAATTAATAGCTTGTCACAAAATGTACAAAACCTTGCCTAAGCAACAAACTCCCTGAAAATTCAAATCGACTAAATAGAAGCCAATAGCTTCATGAGGCAGCAAGAAATATTAAAACAAAGTCAAAAAGCTGAAAAAATGGAAGAAAATGTAACATACTTTACAAAAAAAAAAAAGACCTAGAAAAGACAGCAAAGGGGAAAAAAAATGTAAGAAATCACTGGACTATCTGAACACCAAAACCAAAAAAAGGGCCTAGATCTCTTAGAACCAGAGGACAAGGTAGAAATAGAAATAATCCACCAGTCACTTCCTAAAAGAAATCCCCAAATAAAAACTCCCAGGAATATCATAGCCAAATTTCAAAGCTTCCAGGTCAAAGGAAAAAATACTGTAAACAGCCAGAAAGAATGAATTTGTGTATTATGAAGCCAAAGTCAGGATCACACCTGGTTGAGCAGCCACCACTACAAGAAGCAAAGAACTTGGAATATGATATTTTAGAAGGCAAAAAATATGGGCTTAGAGTCAAGAATAACTTACCTAACAAACCTGAGAATAACTACAGGGGGAGAATGTACTTCAGTAAAATAGAGGTCTTTTTTCAAGCATTCTTCCCCCCCCCAATTTATTTATTTATTTTTAGTTTTCAAAATTCGCTTCCACAAGATTTTGAGTTCCAAATTTTCTCCCCATCTCTCCCCTACCCCTACCCCAAGATGCCATGAATTCTGAATACTCCTTCCCCCAATCTGCCCTCACTTCCATCACCCCCCCTTCTATTTTCCTATAGGGCAGGACAGACTTCTACACCCCTTTACCTATATATCTTATTTCCCAGTTGCATGTAAAAACAATTTGTAACATTAGTTTTTAAAACTTTGAGTTATAAATTCTCTCCCTTCCTCCCTCGCCACCCAACCTCATTGAGAAGGCAAACAATTCAATATAGGTTATACATGTGTAGTAATGCAAAACCCTTCCATAACAGTCATGTTGTGAAAGATTATTTTTCCCTCCATCCTATCCCACTTAAAAAGCTTTTTCACCCCATTCCATCTCCCCCTTTCTCTTTCTCCCAGTACAATCCTCTCACCCCTTAATTTTATTTTTTAGATATCATCCCTTCATATTCAATTCACCCTATGTCGTGTGTGTGTGTGTGTGTGTGTGTGTGTGTGTGTGTATTTTTCCCCCCTTCCAACTATCCTAATACTGACAAAGGACTCATGAGTTACAAATATCATCTTTCCATGTAGGAATGTGAACAGTTCAACTTTAATAAATCTCGTATGATTTCTCTTTCCTGTTTACCTTTTCATGCTTCTCTTGAGTCTTGTATTTGAAAAGTCAAATTTTCTATTCAACTCTGGTCTTTTCATCAAGAATGCTTAGAAGTTCTCTATTTCATTGAATGTCTATTTTTCCCCCTAGAAGATTATACTCAGTTTTGCTGGGTAGGTGATTCTTGGTTTTAATCCTAGCTCCTTTGACCTCCAGAACATCATATAACAAGTCCTTCAATCCCTTAATGTAGAAGTTGCTAAATCTTATGTTATCCTAATTGTGTTTCCACAATACTTAAATTGTTTCTCTCCAGCCACTTGCAATATTTTCTCCTTGACCTGGGAACTCTGGTATTTGGCTATAATATTCCTAAGAGTTTTCCTTTTGGGATCTCTTTCAGGAGGTGGATTTTTTCAAATTCTATTTTACCCTCTGATTCTAGAAAGCAAAGCAGTTTTCCTTGATAATTTCTTTAAAGATGAGATCTAGGCTCTTTTATAGATCATGGTTTTCAGGTACTCCAATATAATTTTTAAATTATTTTAAATTTAAATTATCTCTCCTGGATCTACTTCCATTGCTTTTCCAATGAGACAGTTCACATTTTCTTCTATTTTTTCATTCTTTTGGTTTTGTTTTATAATTTCTGGATTTCTCATAGAGTCATTAGCTTCTATTTGTTCCATTCTAATTTTTAAGGAATTATTTTCTTCAGTGAGCTTTTGGACCTCCTTTTCCATTTAGCCAATTCCACTTTTTAAGGCATTCTTTTCCTCATTGGCTTTTTGGACCTCTTTTGCCATTTGGATCAGTCTAAGTTTAAGGTGTTATTTTCTTTAGTACTTTGGGAGTCTCCTTTAGTAAGCTGTTGACTCATTTTTCATGATTTTCCTGCATCACTCTCATTTTTCTTCCTTATTTTTCCTCTACTTCTCTTAACTTGATTTTCAAAATCCTTTTTGAGTTCTTCCATGGCCTGAGACCAATTCATATTTTTCCTGGAGGCTTTAGATGTAGGACCTTTGACTTTGTTGTCTTCGTCTGGTTGTATGTTTTGATCTTCTCTGTCACCAAAGTAAGATTCTGTAGTCAGATTTTTCTGCTGTTTGCTCATGTTCCTAATTGATTACTTGACCTTTTAACTCTTTGTTAAGGTAGGGGGGTCTGCTTCCAGTGTGGAGAATGTACTGTCCCAAGCTTCAGGGTTTTGTGTTGGTGTTTTCACAGATACTTCTAAGGACCTGTGAATTTTCAGTTCTTCCAAGGTGGTATGATCAAAGGTGAGGTGTTTACTCCTTTCCTGGCCTGTGCTCTGGTCTACGAGTGACCACAAGCACTCTTTTCTGCCTTGGAACTGTGAGGAAGATTCCCTCTCCATCATGCCACAAAGCTCCACCTCCCCAGCACTCCTCCTTGTCCCAGGACTGCCACCCAGGACTGTGACTCAGATCCAAGCATGGGCAAATCAAAAGAATCCTGCCTGAACGCCAGCAGAGAGATCTCTGCAAGTCCC